AAGGACAGATATAAACCTCACACTCGGTACTCCTATTCCATCTTCTGGGCTCTAGAATGTATTATAATTTTAAAATATTGCAAACAATTAGGTTTCGGTATTTTAATGTTGATTTTGAATAACTAACTGCTTTGTCGTGAATGCAAAAACAAATGCATACAATTATTTAAGATATATTCCAGTCGATGTCTCATGTCAATTTTGCCCGTTGAAAAGCATACCAAAGTAATTTTATCTCTTATGGGGTAGTGTTTGACTAGATTCATTCATTGATACATTGCGCACAATAACTACATTCTTTTCAATGCGGTAGTTACGTATGACACTAACGTATGACTTTGTTGAAGTATATACTAGTATATATAATATGTTTTAAAGTTGAACTAAAGAGCTTTTTTTTTCTCGAATCCTGGGAACTGGACTATGCTAACAAAAAGTACAAAGTTAGTCGAATTAACAGAGGCAAAGTAGTCTACTTTTTATTTTGCGCTTCAAATGTAGAGTAGGGAACAGTTAGAAAATAGTTCTCGTGCTACAAACAGGTGGTATTAGAAGAGATTATTATAGCTTCAGTCCTGCATCAGTGTATCATATAGTTCATCAATGTATTATATAGTTCCCACATGACTGGTGGGACAGCTTCGGATTTACCACGCTAAAATCAGTGGTTCGATTTCCCTTCGTGGACACAGCAGATAGCCCAATGTGGCTTTGTTATAGGAAAACACACACAGAAACACACCTGATTGATTGGCTAATAAGTTCTGATCTAAATAAGCTACACACAAAAATAAAACCTGAAATCAGTCCAGTAGTTTAGTATAGTTATAATTGAATATACTGTCCTTACGGTCTTAATTATTTGTTTCTTTTGTCGGATACACTCTCCGTTGTTGATATTTTCGGTCGTAATCCCGGACTTAACAAACTACATTACACCCAGTCGTTTTTAGATATAGTACACATCTCATTACAGATAACTAACAAGCAGTAGTGAAACATAAAATATAACATCCAGGCGTGTGTCGATATGTCATAATAAACACCGCCAGTTGGTTGATGGCATACGGGCACAAAGTTCTTATAGTGTGCGGTCAGTGTTCATCATTTGGATATGAATCAATGCTCCTTTTTTCAACTTATTTTCAGATTTTGTCGCTATAAGTAACCCCCATGTTTAACAATAAGATAAAAAAAAGCATAATCTCTTTACTTAGCTTCAGGTCAGCGGTGGTTTTCGGATAATGCAAAACCCGAGGATCGATTCCTGGCAGTGGACACAGCACAGACTAGCCAATTGTATAGCTTTTTAAAACAACAACTTAGCTTTTGTAAATTTAAAATCTTTAATTTTTGGTTTGGGTAACAAAGAATTTTGTTTAATATAGCTTATATTTTTAACCTTCCCGTTTAAGAATATTTCATTTTCCGTTTATTTAGGTGTTAAGATTTTCCTCACACCCTATTTATCTTTTATTGTGCATATCAAACTGTAGTGTGCTATTTACTAATAGAAAGTATGCGCCCTCCAGTGGCACAGCGTATGTCTGCGGACTTACTACGCTAGAATCCGGGTTTCGATACCCGTGGTGGGCAGAGCACAGATAGCCCATTGTGTAGCTTTGTGCTTAATTACAAATAAACAATAAACATAAATTATGCTGTAAAATTAGTTTGTTCATGTGCAAGAAGAATACCTTACTTATAACAAACATTTAGCAGTTCCTCTAAGATTCTGTTTTATGTACCTCAATTCCTATTTTTAGTTCAGTTTTGCTATTATGAATTATGTTATGAATTAGCTGGAGAACATTTGAATGATACTTTTAATAGATTTTAAACAACATTTCGTAGAATTCTAATGTCGTTTATTGTTTTCATAACATCAAAAAATCCAGTACTTTAAACACTAATTGACCATCTAAACCACGTTGAAACGTACATATTTGCCTTTAATAATAGACTTGGCTAAATGTTGCATAGATACCATAAGATGTCAAAAGATGCCATATTTTCTTGTCTATTCATTTGAATGTATAGTCTGCTGTTAGTTCACAAACGACGATGGTCTGGTGGTTAGGCTTGGAACCTGCGGGTTCGAATCCTTGTCACTAAACCTGCTTGCCATTTCAGCCGTAGGAATGTTGGTAAAAGTGGCTTTGCGCGAAATTCAAACCAAACCGCAAACGCCTTCAGCGCTACCGTGGTAAATGCGACGCTCAAGTTCATCTCGAATATACTTATTCCTATTGAGATCCAGTGGTTGTGTGACCTAAGAAGATGACTGAAGTCATTCTTTTCTGTTTGCATATAGGATAAGGAAATGTATATATATATGGCTGCCATGTGATAGGTTTTGAAATGTCCTTCATATAGAACGTTTGGAAATGGTTCAATCTTGAATTTTGTAAATTATGGAATAGTATAATGTCTCTGGCTAACATAACTACATTCGCAAAATATCGTTTCTGCATGTCGAAATCAGGCAGGCAGTAGCACTGCCTATAGGTGGGATGGCTCGGATTATTCATTGAAATATATTAGAACTTTTAATAGGCATTCAGTGTGAATATTGTAGAAGATCACGTAATGTAACCTTATCACTGAATATCAGAATAATAACAATTCAGAGATACTAAAGTAATAAAAAAAGAAAAGTGAATAATATAATTGTAAGAGAAGGAAAGCATAACCATTGTTTGGGCCACACGAACTGATCGATTTTAGCTTCGTAAAACGGTTTTCTAATCCTTTATGTAGTAACTACCAAACTTTAGGATTATTTGACGTTTTACTTTTTTTTTTACTAAACAATATATGTATTTATCCCCACTTTAAATCCCCCCCTACGATGGCATTTGCAGTTTTTCTTTATTTCATGCTTCTATTTCTGGAAGTTAAAGTTAAATTTTATGTTACTTCTAAAATGTGTTGTACCTTCCGTTCTTCTTCTTAACTAGGACCAGGCGTGGCTTATTCATACAATGCTGGACTGTGGATCCGCACTTTGGAGTCACGAGTGCGTTTTAGAGTGACGGCCTAACCCCACTATTCGGTTAGAGTAACCTAAGGGGTGGCGATGTATGCTGTTGCCTGTAACTCCTTTCCATCAAGTCTATAAGTTCAAAATTCAGGACGGCTAGCGCGAATATCCGGAAGAAACAAGCATATCTTGCATTCATATCTGTATAGTTACTTTTGTCTTACTTCAAATCAGTATATATAAAGTGTCTAACGTTTATTAATCGTAAAAGGTGTGTAGGAGCTGTACATAGAGATCTCTACAATTCCATGTTTCTGTTTCTGGTACAACGATATTCTCTCTTTATTAATTATATGTCACATCCTTCCTTAGGTGTTAGTAAAATAACCAAGAAACAGTTTTACTGTATACAAAGTTCCAAATTACACTTAATAGGGCCCGGCATGGCCAGGTGGTTAATGCACTCGACTCGCAATCTGAGGGTCGCGGGCTCGAATCCCCGTCACACCAAACATGCTCGCCCTTTCAGCCGTGGGGGCGTTATAAGTGACGGTCAATCCCACTATTCGTGGATAAAAGAGTAGCCCAAGAGTTGGCGGTGGGTGGTGATGACTAGCTGCCTTCCCTCTAGTTTTACACTGCTAAATTAGGGACGGCTAGCGCAGATAGCCCTCGTGTAGCTTTGTGCGAAACTAAAAAAACAAAAAACAAACAAACATACACTTGATAAGGTCATTGTATTAAGAATAGTACAGCAAATACATTAGTTGTATAATGTGATTGAAACACTTTGTTTATAGAAAGCCTTTTGCCATCCACAAAATATATATATAATTACGCAGACATGACTAAAATAATATGTTCATATTAAATTATTATTAAGACAAATAAAACGGTGCGGAGTAAGTAACTTCACATTTTCTTAATGAAGTATTACATTTAATATTTCCCTTTCAGGTCTTTATTTGTGTCGTATATATAAAGATGCCTGTATTTGTTTACATCGTAACAACAGAAAAAAGAAACCTATTCAAGGTAGCTAATGTTATTATGATGTAATACTGAAGCACAGTTGCATATACTTAGAATTAACTCAGCAAGAAAAAAAATCATTATTGCTAAAGTCGCTGGAACTGAAGACAGACAAACTTTTATAATCATTAAACTTCCTGGAAAATTCTCAGCTGCAATTTGTAGTTTCTTGCGGTAAATTATGCCACTCTAGAATAAAAAAAAAATACATTTGTACATACGATTTAATGATATGCTTTTTTATTTGAAATAATAATCTTTTTCTTTTCGGGTATGGGGAATATACCTCACAAATTGCATCATTTTACGTGGATGCCACTAATTGTCTTTGAAAAAAAAAGCCCGATTTTTGTTGACCAACAAAATGGAATATTTTACAGTATAAGATAGCCAACAAGTAATCTCTTGATTAATTTATTAATGAACAGTTTTCTATTTGTTAGCTTCGTAAATTGCCATGGAAAATCAAATTTAAAATCAGTCTTGTTTCTTGATTTATTATGTTATAGTTTTATTTTAGTCTTATGTTGCTATGAAAAGGCTATATGTTTAAGATATCCTTCTGAATGTCAAAATCTTGTCATTGGTTGTAGATTGTTTTTGTTTATTTTTCGAATGATTCCTAATATTTTATTTGGAAACTCTTTTACTAGTATTTTGACGGGGAGCATATATGCATTTTATCTCATTCATTTTTAATCAGTAGTCCTGTGTATCATGCGTTTCACGTAAACATCATAAATCACGATACAGTGAGATAATATTATGCCTGAAACAGCTTATGACTGTGAATTATACAAATTCAAGCTTGAACTGTGTATGTTTATGCACATTTTGTTGTTTGTGAAATCAAAAAAAGATATTTAAGAAAAAGGTTTTGTTACACTTTATCGGTGCAGTATTTTAGAAGTGACAAATCTATTGTTATTTCAGATTTATTGTTATTTTTGTATTAAATGCCTTTTCTTGCTTTCGTATCCAATAGAAAAAAACTTGAGACGTCTACATGACATCCAGGAAGGAATTCAACGATTGAGAGAAATGAGTTACAAAAATATGGGAATAAAAGTAAGTGAAACTTCCAGAATCTTACTGTGGCATTCACCTTCGATATTAAATCAGCGTTAGTGAATCTTTTCCTTTCTACTACGTAGATGGTGGAAACTCAAAGCATTTCTTAACATTACTTTGTAATTTTCTTTCTTCTTTTTTTTGGAGTTGTTTGTTGACACATATTTTTAAATCATCTGTTAATCCTCAATCAAGAAATATCTTATAAATGTCAGTATAAGAGTATTATAAATCACAGTACATAATGTTTATATGAGAACAAAAAAAATACATTTTTAAGGATTTACAACACAACAATCCGGGGTTCGATTTCCTGCTATAGACACAGTAGATAGTCCAATGTGGTTTTGCTTTAAAACAAACACGTATATAAACATCGTAAAGGAATATGATAAATGTTAAAGGAAGTGGGTGTAACTACTACCGATATATTTCGTTTGACATTGATCAATGTGTAAACATTATTCTCTTGCTTATATGAAGAACTTTTCTATGTAGTCAGGTTGCTAGGTCGTGAAAATAGAGAAAGGCCTAAAAGTACGTACCAATAAGTTGTTGTTATTCACTGAAATTATACATCCTATTTGTCTGTTCTAGATTCAGACGGATGCTGAGTTGGAATGGTTGAGAATTTTTTCTACATTCAAATAAATATTGTGTACTAGAAAGAGATGAAAAAAAAAGTAGCCATCCTCTAAAAGAAGACGCATGTTAGATTTATTGAGTTGTCTTCTCGAAGGTCCGGCCAGGGAGACTAAACCAAATCACAAAGTTTTGTTTCAGAAGCATTTCGATTTAGCAGTTTTTTGTAGTAGCGTCTTATGTATCAGTCTTAATACGGACTAAGTCCATGTTCTGTTCGTTCTTTGCGTTTTCATAATTGAAGGTATAGTGGCAGTGAGTTCGTCTTCTGATTAATATTATTATTTTCTTTTCTTTTTTTTTTTGCTTAATGGCAAGAGGTTTTTGCATTCGAAGTTGGAATTTTTCCTGGGGAGGGAGGATGACGCAGAAGAAAGGTATATTACATTAGTTTAAACAGTGGTTGGTAGTACTATTGGTGTTACAGGCTTTGGCGATACAGTATTATTTCATTCGACTGCAGAGCTTTCTAGCGATTGATTCAGTATATATATATATCACTTGTTGCACCTCGGGCACGTGAACGAATATATACCACTATAGCGAGGTATTTAGTGGATGTTATCCTTAAAGTTGAAGAGCCCTTTTAACCTAGACTGTTAAAATACATTATAGAACAAAACAAAATATTTATCTTTACACACTTTTACGCTTTTTTTTTTATAGTCGGCAACCTGACTAATGAAGAGACTATAAGAATTATAAATAAATAAAAAACCTTAATGATAAGTTTAAATTGTTAATGATCAAAAGAGTCAGATATAACGTAATATTCATGTGATTACTATTAGACCTGGTGTGCTTTAGTGACTAGCATACCGATCCGCAGATGGGAAGGTCCAAGGTTCTTACTGTGGTCTGCCGCTAAATACAATCAGTTTTTACAGCTGTGGGAGCATCATAATTATGAGAGACTATCTCGTTATTCTTTTAAATGTAAAAAAGGATGATAACTGTTTATCATCCATGTGGCAAGCAATTCTAAATTTGGGTTGGCTATGCCTAAATCGTATGGGTATCTGACCTGGCCGTTTAGCCCACGTGTTGCATAATGTACCGTTCAGATTGAAAATACCAATATCTTGATAATTACTTTTGTATGTACTATGTGATAGCAAGACACACAAATTGTAATTTTGACTACATAATTGGAATTCCGTATATCTAACCTATATAAAAGCCCGTGTGTGTGTCACGTCACGTTTGATTTCTCGAAATAAGAGGAGTCATAGAAGCCAAAATGCATTTATCCAGATAGAATAGTTCAATTACTGTCTGCCCATTACGATTTCAGTGACGGATGTGCAAGGAAGCCGTGCCGGGGAAGTGTGCGTGAAACCTTACAAGTGTAGGATCACCTAGCCTTGAGCCAAGTACATAACATTTATCATGAAAGTATGAATATCGATTCAGTTTTTAAACGTTAATCGTTTCTGAATTAAGCTGTTTTTTGTTATGTAATCAACGTTTTTAATTAAAAACAAATCTCTTTAATGAACGGAAACTCTAAATTAAGAAATCTATAAGGTACAATAGTACTGTCTGTTGTATGTCCATGTAACTACTTCGCAGGGTGTGGATGGACCTTCACCAAAATTGGTATGGACTTTCATTAGGTCCATGCAGGGGTACATACAGATTTTCAGTTTTGCGGAATATATGGGCGTTTTTTATCACTACCTCATCTTCTGTGGGTAGATTTTCACCATATTTGGTATGGCGGTTTATTGGGTCCGTGTGGAGATACATAAAATTTTTCAGTTTTGCATTTTTCGGTTCATATGGGCGTTTTTGCGCCACTACTTCACCCACTGTTGATAGATATTCACCAAATTTGGCATGGAGGTTCGTTGAGTCCATGGGGAAATACATACAAAATTTTAGTTTTGCTGTTTTTATGGGCGTTTTTTACCACTACTTCACTCTCTGAAGGTGGATCTTCACCAAATTTTGCATGAAAGGCTATTGGGTTCATGGGGAGATACATACAGATTTTCTGTTTTGTGGTTTTTATGTGTGTTTTTTTATCACTACTTCGCTCCCTGTAGATGAATCTTCACCAAATTTGGTATGGAAGTTCATTGGGTCCAAATTTGCAGTTTCACTTTTCGTGTTTTGCAGTTTCTATGGGCGTTTTTGCGTCTTTTACAATTACATATAAGAGAAGCAACATTTAATGGCCTAAGATAACCTATCATTAATCATGAATGTACATAACTTCCTTCCAGGGAATGAGTATTCCAGCTATGGGCGTTTTTGCGTTTTTTACCACTACTTCGGCCCTTGTTGATGAATCTTCACCAAAATTGGCATGAAGGTTTATTGTGGCCATGGGGAGATGCATACAAAGTTTCAGTTTTGCGGTTTTTATCACTACTTTCATCCCCCCCCCCCACCCCTGTTGATGTATCTTCACCAAGTTTGGTATGGAGGAGATTCATTGGGTCCATGGAGAGATACAGATTTCCAGTTTTGCCGGTTTCATGGGCGTTTTGTGCCACTACATAGTCCCCTGTTGATGGATATTCACCAAATTTGCGGAGATGCATTCAAATTTGCAGTTTCACATTTTGTCTTTTGGGTACTCCAGCCAGTCAACAAATATTTTTACAGTTTGTTGTCTATATATTTCATTTTATACTTTCAGTACATACAATAACAATAATATTAGGTTTTACTTTTTTGCTAAGCAACATGACATAAAAGCCATTATATTAGAAGTTGTTAATCTAACTGATTTTTACCAATAATTATTCTATGAATACGCCATGAATTCTTTTCATGAACGATTTTAACTTTGATTGACTCGGAAAGGAATTTAACGGCGTTTGATTGCCTCAACTGCACTTTTCTGCCTCATTTATTTGTCAAGCTTGATTTCGCAAAATTTATTTATTTCAGTTTGCTATTAAATGTGAGATTAGGGTATACTATGGGGTGGGGGTGAAAGTACTTGCTCCGTCATTTTTGACAGTCCTTATGCTAGTATTTTTAGTTTTAACAAGGCCATTTAAACAACTTGGTACTACTTTATGCGGATGAACACCTTATTGCTTATAAAGGCTTGTGTAGAGTCTGAAAATTGGTAGTTACAGTGGACTTAATGGGTAGTGGATGAGAGTTATACTAGTTAGTTTAGAAACTTGGTTGGGATTTTATACTAGTATAATTTGTCTATTGTGCTACTAATTTTTGCTTTACTACTACAATGGAAGCTGGAATGCCAACTTCAGGAGGTAAGTTTATCTTATTTACTCCTAAGTGGTAGTACCTTATTTCGTTTTTCTTTTTCATGTTTATATATTTATTTTATTTTGGAAAGCAATCACCTTCCCACAACTTTCTGCAGGCAGTGAAGGGTGATACAGATGTGGGACGTTGTGGGCTTGATCTCCCAATTTGTATTTCTTTTGATTATTTTATTTTGGAAAGCAGTCACCTTCCCACAGCTTTCTGCTGGGGTTAGTGAAGGGTGATACAGATGTGGGACGTTGTGGGCTGGACCACCCACATCTCGCTCTCCCAATTTGTATTTCTTTTGATTATTTTATTTTTATTTTTGAATTTCTTCGTATGAGACTGGCGAATGGAGGTTAAGACTGATAGATGGTTTATCCCCACCGCAGTGTGAGTCCTACTTCCTCAGTCACCTCCAAAACCCAGGGCGCATTTTATACCACACACTATAGCCTGGGGATCCTCTTGATTTATGCAGCGTCTTTGATTTGATTTTTGTTTGGGCTTGTTTTCGTTTATTTGGATATCATTTATCACAGGCTGTTTTTAACGCAGTCCCTCCTTTTGATTTTGTTTTGCTTGACTGTTTAAGTATTGATTTTCTATATATTTTACCTTCCCCCCAAATGATACGGCTGTTTTTTAAGCTGTTCTTCATGCTGTAGTAATGTACGTGCCACAGTTCTATTATAAAATTAGTTAAGGAACTAATTTGTTAAAAACATGTTATATTTTAGGATATCTTTGACTTTCTTTTATATGTACTTTGTTTTGCTTTCTCCCCTTTTCTGTTACTGTACCACTGTAGAAGCACTTTTAAGAAACAGCTCCATATCCATGGTAACTATAATGGTTGACAGTATGAGGTTTCTCTTTTCGCTATTGCAGTATACCCTTACAGTCATTAAATATTTAAGAGAGTGAAGAAAATAATATATACTTAATTCTGGACGATTATGGTTAAAAGTTGACGTTTTCAGAAAATGTTCAGAAATAGTGTAATTAATTTAAATAAAAACCTTCACTTTCAAAGATAAGATTACTTTTTCAGGAAACCACGTGCATATGAGTGTACTTTGAATAATGAATGTCTTGAAAATAAATCATATCGTCATTTA